GGCCTTCAAATGCTAAGCAAGTTGGCCAGTTGCAACACGCACACTTGCCTCAAGCAGACAAGAGTTCTTTCTCCCACTCTGGAAATTCCACAGACATATAAACTTCACTTGTTTAGTTTCCAACTGACTTCACAACCTCTAGAGATGCCTGCCATAGATGTGGGTGAAATGTCAGGAGAGAATGCTTCTGGAACATGGCCATACAGCCTGCAAAATTCACAGCAACACAGTGATTTCGGCCATTAAAGCCTTCGACAACACTTTCAGTGTTCTTAAAAAGTGTTCAAATCCTTTTCAAGTCATGTAATAACATCCTGGTTTATTCCAAAGCTACTAATCATAGGTACTTATCTTGGATGAAGTGCAAAACTGTGGTTAATTGGAGGCTATATGGTTTAAATGTGGCTTCTGGCAAAAAGGAAAGACTAAAACACTACACGATGCGATTGAATGACTCCGTGCAAGCCTTATGTTAACACACTTAACTTAGGAAAACATGCCTTTCCCCAGTTCCTAAGAAAGGAATAAGTGACTTTGCAATAAGAACTTTATAGCATCATTATACGCTTTCCTAGAGAAGCCTGTCTTTAGCTGAACATCATCCCCTGCCCTCTCTTCCAATGCCCTACCAAAGGTCCAAGGCTTGGTATTGATTTATAAGAGAGAAATAGCTAGATTAAATTATAAAATGCATTGCTTTCCAACAGGAAGATGCAGTTTACCAGGATCTTGAGTTTATCATCACTTGCCTAACCTAAAGAAGGGATTATTCCCAATGTAGTTGAGTGCTTCAGATGGGAGTTCTGAGTTGACCCATTTTAATAGGGCAGAGGTCTTCTATGGACAGCTTGGAAAGTCCACTAAGACTTGAAATATGTACGGTTTCAGATGTTTAAACAACATATCGTCATATATACCAGAAATGAAGCGTGAAACTTCAAGAGCAGTGGATTCCCCATGGTTGAAATCAATGCAACAGAGATCAAGATAATGGGGGTTTTTTCCCCTATTCATAAGGAATAGGGCTTAAAATGACCTAGAACGTCCAATAGATCGGATTTGAATCCTCTAGTGCCAAACAGACTGAGTATAGGGATCATGGATAGGTTTTCATCTGGATCTCACCTTGCTATAGGTAAATGGTTCTCAACCTTCCTAATGCCATGACCCCTTAATACAGTTCCTCATGTTGTGGTGACCCCCAACCATAACATTATTTTCATTGCTATTTCTTAACTGTAATTTTGCTACTGTTATGAATCGTAATGTAAATATTCTGATATGCAGGCTGTATTTCCATTCACTGGACCAAATTTGGCACAAATATCCGATATGCCCAAATTTGAATACTGGTGGGGTTGAGGGGGAATTGTAATTTTGTCATTTGGGAGTTGTAGTTGCTGGGATTTATAGTTCACCTACAATCGAAGAACATTCTGAACTCCACCAATGATGGAATTGAACCAAGCTTGGCACACAGAACTCCCAACAGAAAATACTGGAAGGGTTTGGTGAGCACTGACCTTGAGTTTTGGAGTTGTAGTTCACCTACATTCAGGGAGCACTGTGGACTCAAACAATGATAGATCTGGACCAAATTTGGCACAAATACTCCATATGCCCAAATGTGAATACTGGTGTAGTTTGCAGAAAATAGACCATGACATTTGGGAGTAGTATTTGCTGGGATTTATAGTTCACCTACAATCAAAGAGTGTACCGAACCTCACCAATAAAATTCGGCCAAACTTCACACAGAACCCCCATTCCTTGAAAGGACTCCCTGGAACAAGTCTCCATTCAGCCTCGCACGCTTTCCCTCACCTGTACATGCGCACCATGCTGCCATGCGCCAAGCATTCCTGCTCTCCCCTCCCAGGTTGGAGTCTCAGAAACAGCCCTCCCCTTGGCTGAGAGGCCAGGCAATCACATGAGAAGAGGGCTTTTGGTTGGAGGATTTGCCAAAAAGGAAGGACAGGCAGAGAGATCTTCAGCCTTCTCTGCCAAAAGGGTTCCAAAGATCATGAGAAATATGTTTTCTGATGGTCTTTGGTGACCCCTCTGAAACCCCCTCATGACCCTCCCCAGGTGTCCTGACCTCCAGGTTGAGAAACGCTGACCTAGAACCTCAAATGGGTCAGATTCAAATACATTTGTGCCAAACAGGCTGGGTAAAAGGATCATGGGTATGTTTCCATCTGGATTTCACCTTGCTACGGGCCATGGGATGAATGTGGCCATTTCTGTGGCCGTTGCGGTGACAAAATATTGCTACAAATGCCTTGATGAGGGACATCTTGATACACAATTGACCCTCCAAACCAATCCAGAAAAGGCCTTTGTTTGCATCTGGAAGTATCTTCTGCTTACTTCCTATTGTACTAAAATGAAAGAGAAGGTCTGGAAAATGTGGCAAAAATGGCAAGGTGTTTGGTGCACTAAGGAGTGTGGTTCATGGCAATTAAAGTGGTGCCAAACTGCATTAAGTCCACAATGGAGGCCTGAAGACACAGCAGACACATTAGGTGTTGCTGCAGGTATATTGAATGGGCTCCGTCTGATCCTTTGCCATCCAGACAGAATCTGGCACAAGCCCTTTCCTTTCGCAAAGAACAGATGCCAAGTTGTTGTGAATGGGCAACCGTCTCTCTCTTTGGGGAAGCAGATGGCAGTCTTGGTGAAATGCCACAAGACTCCTGATGCATGCCAAAACTCAGTGGTGGCTGGTGGCTTCCATATTGACAGACAGCAGAACCATTCTGGGTCCCAGAAAGGAGTTGCATGCTGGACTCTTATCCAAAACAGAGCCAAATCTGAGAGATATCCTTTTCAGACTAAAGCCTGCTTTGGGCCCCTATTTTGGGGATACGAGAAAAGTAAACAAACCAAATAAATAAAGCTCAGAGTGGATTTCCCAATCCACTGCCTTTGGAATCACTATTGTTTAAACTTGCCGAATCTTAAGGAACATAATTTAAGATCTTCTGGGGAGGCCCTGCTCTCGGTCCCACCGGCGTCACAAACGTGTTTGGTGGAAACGAGGGACAGGGCCTTCTCAGTGGTGGCCCCCGCTTGTGGAATTCGCTCCCCAGTGAGATTAGATCGGTGTCCTCCCTCCTCACTTTTAGGAAAAAACTAAAGTCATGGTTTTGGAGCCAGGCTTTTGGCTAGTGGACATAGCAGACCTCACTACCTCTGAGGATGCTTGCCATAGATGCAGGCAAAACGTCAGGAGAGAATGCCTCTAGAACATGACCATATAGCCTGAAAAAAACCTACAACAACCCATGATCATCAAGTTTGCAGATGGGACCCAATTGGGAGGGAGAGCTAATACTCCAGAAGATAGGAGCCGAATTCAAAATGATCTTAACAGGTTAGAGAGATGATTGGCCAAAACTAAGAAAATGAAGTTCGACAGGGACAAATGCAAGATATTCCACTTAGGCAGAAAAAAATGAAATGCAAAGATACAGAATGGGAGACGGTGTCTGACTCGAGAGCAGCACGTGTGAAAATGATCTTGGAGTCCTTGTGGACAGGAAGGTGAACATGAGCCAACAATGTGATGAGGTAACTAAAAAAAAGCCAATGGGATATTGATCTACATAAATAGGAGTCTAGTGTCTAGATCCAGAGAAGTCATACTACCCCTCGATTCTGCCTTGGTCAGACCACACCTGGAATCACAATGTGTCCAATTCTGGGCATCGCAATTGAAGCGAGATGTTGACAAGTTGCAATGTGTTTAGAGGAGAGCGACTAAAATGATCAAGAGTCTGAAGAAGAAGCCCTATGAGGAGCGGCTTAAAGAGTTGGGCATGTTTAGCCTGCAGAACAGAAGGCCAAGAGGAAACATGAGGAGGGCCATGTATCAAGATGTGAGGGGAAGTCACAGGGAGGAGGGAGCAAGCTTGTTTTCTGCTGCCCTGGAGATTAGGACGCAGAACAATGACTTCAAACTACTGGAAAGGAGATTCCACCTAAACATAAGGAAGAACTTCCTGACTGTGAGAGTTGTTCAGCAGTGGAACTCTCTGCTTCAGAGTGTAGTGGAGACTTTCAAACAGAGGCTGAATGGCCATCTGTTGGGAGTGCTTTGAATGTGATTTTCCTGCTTCTTGGCAGGGAGTTGGGACTGGATGGTCCACAAGGGCTCTTCCAACTCTAGGATTCTATTATTCTACTGTTCAGAAATACAAAATCAAAGCACTCCCAACAGATGACCATATAATCTACTCTCTGAAGTAGGAGCTTCCAGTATCGAATACCTCTTACTATCAGGATTTTGGCAGAAAAGGCTAAAAGCGTCATAAAACGACAGCTTCCAAGATTCCATAGCTTTACTTCCACAGCAATTAAAGCAGTGTGGCCATCTGTTGGGAGTGCTTTGAATGTGATTTTCCTGCTTCTTGGCAGGGAGTTGGACTGGATGGCCCACAAGGTCTCTTCCAACTCTATGATTCTATGATTTTAACCTCTTCATTTTGGAATAATAAAGAGCAGACGACAATGGCAAGCCTTGGCATTCCTGCATTTGGTTGTCAATAGGGGCCCCACGTGTGAATGGACCTCAGAAATGCAACAGAAGAACTGGTCTTCAATTAGCAACACAACAAAGTTCACATGTGACTTCAACCAATGTCACAAAAAACCACCCACAAAAGTGTCCCCTCCCTGCCCCTTTTTAGAAACCCATTTATAGCAAGGCGGCCCCCCAAAGGTCCCCTTCCTTTAGTCATAAACAGCCATGTTTACCTGCAAAGAGTCCTCCCTCCCCCCCCAAAAGGGGTTTACACCTGGAGAAAAGAAGCACAGGGAAAGGGATGGGGGTTCAGACTGCAATGCCCATCACTCTCATGCTGGCTGACTGGGGATCCAAGAAACTGCCATCCAAGAAAGCATTGCAATGTGTAACTGCCATCCAATAAAATACTGGAGCTTCCCCGCAGCCTTGCGACCAAAGATGCCAATGTTGTGTTGTCAATGTCTACACTTACCCCATTCACAGAAGCCAGGTTCAGGCACATTACAGCCAGAAGGACAAAAACTCTGCAAAGAAAGAGGATGCATGTTATTGCTCCAACCAAAGAAACTCAAATGAGGGTGACTTGCATCTATGGATGCCTGCCATATACGTGGGCAAAACATCAGGGGAGAATGCTTCCAGAACATGGCTGTACAGCCAAGAAAACTCACAGCAACCCATTTGCAAAAAATGTTGGCAACCTGAGAGCCAGGTGACACCATCCATTGGGAACTTGGGCCACTTCTTTTTTACTTTTACAGTCACCTTCCTACCTACTTCACAGGGCTAGAAGGCAAAGATATCCCTGCTAGTTTGCAAGATCAGGATGCAAAACCTCATCGAGGAAAGGATAGCATAAGTTTCTCTAGACTTCAGTCTATCGACTTCACAAGGTTATTAGTGTGACGCTCAATGGAGTCCCTCAAGAGTGAGCCACTGCTTGGGGGATGCATTAGGGAAAACCTGAGCCATGAACCAAATATGTCAACAATTGACTTCAATAATTTGCTGTGAATTTTCCAGGCAGTATGGCCATGTACCAGAAGCATTCTCTCCTGAGGTTTCGCCCATACATATAGAAGGCAGCCTCAGAGGTTTGAAGTCTATTGGAAACTAGGCAAATGATGTTTATATATCTGTGGAACTTCCAGGGTGGGAGAAAGAACTCTTGCCTGTTTGAGGAAAGTGCGGTTGTTGCAGCTGACCACCTTGATTAGCATTGAATGGCCTTGCAGCTTCAAAGATTGGCTGCTTGGGGGATGTACTGGGGAAAACCTGAGCCAGGAACCAAATATGTCAACAATTGACTTCAATAGTTTGCTGTGAACTTTCAAGGCAGTATGGCCATGTACCAGAAGCATTCTCTCCTGACGTTTTGCCCATACCTACAGCAGGCAACCTCAGAGGTTTGAAGTCTATTGGAAGTAAGGCAAGTAAGGTTTATATATCTGTGGAACTTCCAAGGTGGGAGAAAGAACTCTTGCCTGTTTGAGGAAAGTGTGGTTGTTGCAATTGGCCACCTTGATTAGCATTGAATGGACTTGCAGCTTCAAAGCTTGGCTACTTCCTCCTGGGAATACCTGCACAACAACCACTTCTACCTCAAACAGACAAAAGTTATTTCTCCCACCCTGGAAATTCCACAGATATATAAACACCACTTGCCTAGTTTCCAACAGACCCCACAACTTCTGAGGATGCCTGCCATAGATGTGGGTGAAACATCAGGAGAGAATGCTTCTGGAACATGGCAATAGAGCCCAGAAAACCCACAGCAACCGAGATTTGCAAGAGTGTTGGCAACCTGAGAACTGGGTGACATCATCCATTGGGAACTTTGGGCCAGTTCTTTTTTTACTTTTCAGTCACCTTGCTATTTATTTCACAGGGCAAGAAGGCAAAGATAGAATAGCCTTGTTAGTTTGGAAGATCAGTATGCAAAACGAATTAAGGAAAGAATAGCATAAGTGGCCGGAATCACTGTGTTGCTGTGAGGTTGCTATAAGATCTTCAGTCTTTGGGTTGTTGTAGATTTTTCGGGCTGTATGGCCATGTTCCAGAAGCATTCTCTCCTGACGTTTCACCTACATCTATGGCAGGCATCCTCAGAGGTTGTGAGGTCTGCTGGAAACTAGTCAAGTGAGGTTTATATGTCTGTGGAATGTCCAGGGTGGGAGAAAAAAATTCTTGTCTGTTTGAGGTAGGTGTGAATGTTGTAATTGGCCACCTTGATTAGCATTGAATGGCCTTGCAGCTTCACAGCTTGGCTGGTTGCTGCCTGGGGAAAACACAGAAATGCTGGACCACTCTAACAACCATCATGTCACACGAAGAAGCCATTGAAATCAACAAGCAGGTGGACAATTTCAACAGAAAGGAGGAAACCATGAAAATGAACACAATCTGGTACCAGTATTTTAAAAAAAATCAAGACAGTAAATAAAGAGCAATACTCAGAAAAAAGGTAATTCCAGACAGGAAACAATCAAGGTCAATTAACAACTCCTAACAAAGGATTCCCCCAGGTAGGAAGCAGCCAGGTTTTGAAGCTGCAAGACTATTCAATACTAATCAAGGTGGCCAATTGCAATATTCACACCTGTCTCAAGCAGACAAGAGTTCTTTCTCCCACCCTGGACATCATTCCACAGATATATAGACCCCATTTCCCTAGTTTCTAATATATCTCACAACCTCTAAGGATTGTTGTAGGTTTTTTGGGCTATATGGCCATGTCCTAGAAGCATTCTCTCCTGATGTTTTGCCTGCATCTATGGCAAGCATCCTCAGAGGTTGTGAAGTCTCACAACCTCTGAGGATGCTTGCCATAGATGTAGGTGAAACGTCGGGAGAGAATGCTTCTAGAACATGGCCATATAGCCCAAAAAACCTACAACAACCCAGTGATTCCAGCTATGAAAGCCTTCAACAATCTCCAAGGATGCCTGCCATAGATGTGGGAGAAAAGTCGGGAGAGAATGCTTCTGGAAAATGGCCATACAGCCTGGAAACCTCACAGCAAATGGTAGCATAAGTTTACCTAGACTTCAATCTATCGACTTCACAAGGTTATTAGTGTGACACTCAATGGAGTCCCTCAAGAGTGAGCCACTGCTTGGGGGATGCATTGGGGAAAACCTGAGCCAGGAACTGAATAGGTCAACAATTGACTTCAATAGTTTGCTGTGAATTTTCCAGGCAGTATGGCCATGGACCAGAAGCATTCTCTCCTGACGTTTTGCCCATACCTACGGCAGGCAACCTCAGAGGTTTGAAGTCTATTGGAAACTAGGCAAGTGAGGTTTATATATCTGTGGAATTTCCAGAGTGGGAGAAAAAACTCTTGTCTGTTTGGAGAAAGTGCAACTGGCCACCTTGATTAGCATTAAATAGCCTTGCAGCTTCAAAGCTTGGCTGCTTGGAAATGCATTGGGGAAAACCTGAGCCAGGAACCAAATATGTCAACAATTGACTTCAATAGTTTGCTGTGAATTTTCCAGGCAGTATGGCCATGGACCAGAAGCATTCTCTTCTGACGTTTTGCCCATATCTACGGCAGGCAACCTCAGAGGTTTGAAGTCTATTGGAAACTAGGCAAGTGAGGTTTAGATATCTGTGGAATTTCCAGGGTCGGAGAAAGAACTCTTGTCTGTTTGGAGAAAGTGCAACTGGCCACCTTGATTAGCATTAAATAGCCTTGCAGCTTCAAAGCTTGGCTGCTTGGAAATGCATTGGGGAAAACCTGAGCCAGGAACCAAATATGTCAACAATTGACTCCAATAGTTTGCTGTGAATTTTCAAGGCAGTATGGCCATGTACCAGAAGCATTCTCTTCTGACGTTTTGCCCATATCTACGGCAGGCAACCTCAGAGGTTTGAAGTCTATTGGAAACTAGGCAAGTGAGGTTTATATATCTGTGGAATTTCCAGAGTGGGAGAAAGAACTCTTGTCTGTTTGAAGAAAGTGTGGTTGTTGCAAAGTGTGCTTTTGGAATGTGTGGTTTTGCAATTGGCCACCTTGAGTAGAATTGAATAGCCTTGCAGCTTCAAAGCTTGGCTGCTTCCTGCCTGGGGGAATCCATACAACATTCACACTTGCCTCAAGCAAACAAGAGTTCTTTCTCCCACCCTGGACATCATTCCACAGATATATAAACCCCACTTGCCTAGTTTCCAACAGACCTCACAGCCTCTGAGGATGCCTGCCATAGATGTGGGCGAAACGTCAGGAGATAATGCTTCTGGAATATTTGGTTTTGCAATTGGCTGCCTTGATTAGCATTTGATAGCCTTGCAGCTTCAAAGCTTGGCTGATTCCTGCCTGGGGGAATCCATACAACATTCACATTTGCCTCAAGCAGACAAGAGTTCTTTCTCCCACCCCGGACATCATCCCAAAGATATATAAACCCCCTTGCCTAGTTTCCAACAGACCTCACAGCCTATGAGGATGCTGCCATAGATGTGGGTGAAACGTCAGGAGAGCATGCTTCTGGAATGTATAGTTTTGTAATTAGCCATCTTAATTAGCATTGAATAGCCTTGCAGCTTCAAAGTTTGGCTGCTTGGGGGATGTACTGGGGAAAACCTAAGCCAGGAACCAAATATGTCAACAATTGACTTCAATGGTTTGCTGTGAATTTGCTGTGGAGCATTCTCTCCTGACGTTTTGCCCATACCTACGGCAGGCAACCTCAGAGGTTTGAAGTCTATTGGAAACTAGGCAAGAGAGGTTTAGATATCTGTGGAATTTCCAGGGTGGGAGAAATAACTCTTATCTGTTTGAGGAAAGTGTGGTTGTTGCAACTGGCCACCTTGATTAGCATTGAATAGCCTTGCAGCTTCAAAGCTTGGCTGATTCCTGGCTGGGGGAATCCATACAACATTCACACTTGCCTCAAGCAGACAAGAGTTCTTTCTCCCACACCGGACATCATCCGAAAGATATACAGTCCCACTTGCCTAGTTTCCAACAGACCTCACAGCCTCTGAGGATGCTGCCATAGATGTGGGCCAAACGTCAGGAAAGCATGCTTCTGGAATGTGTGGTTTTGCCACACTGGAAAGTGTGGTTGTTGCAATTGATAAGCATTTGATAGCCTTGCAGCTTCAAAGCTTGGCTGCTTGGGGGATGCATTGGGGAAAACCTGAGCCAGGTACTGAATAGGTCAACAATTGACTCCCAACTCTGCATTGGGACAGAAGTTGCTTGCATACACAAGCCAGCAAAAAAGGCAAAGATATAACCGCGTTAAGTCCCGAATATTCATTTTGCGGCATCAGAGAACCAAGTACTGGGAAGGCGAAGCTTTGCTAGACTTGAAAGCCTACTTTGCAGGGTTATTGTGCATAATATCTATGGAGAGAGACTGGAGAAGCTTCGCCTGGGCTTCTCTCTAAAGGGCAGGGAAGCGGCAAGAGCTCCAAGACAGAGGCAGGACCCCCCTCCCTTGGATCCCCCTCCCAATAACCCCGACCCCAACACTCACCGGGCTTGGTGCATGGCGTCGGAGGAAGGAGCCCCTCCCTCTCCTCGGTGGGGCAAGGGGGAGGGCTGGGAGTCCCCCCCGAAGTCTCCAAGGAGCCCCCAAAAGTTGGGCGAGAAGGGAAGGGGACTCAGGGACGCGGGGCTGGAAGCAAACGAGGGGCAGAGAAGCAGGGAACGCGTTGCACTTGGGAAAAGGGGGGTGGGTGTGGGGGGGAGCCAAGCCGAACCCGCGAGGAGAAGCCCAGCTCCGCCGGGAAAGAGAGGAGGAGGAGGAGGGAGGGAGGAGGGAGGGAGAGGGAGGGGGCGGGCCCGCGCGGCTGTCAATCAAGCCGCCTCAAAGCGCCCGAAAAGGAACACCCCGCCCTCCCTCCCTGGCAAAGCCACACTCCCAACTTAGAGAACTTTTCCTCACTCTTTCCTCTCTCTCTATCATCATCATCATCAACATCATTATCATCATCATTCTTCATTATTATTATTATTATTATTATTATTATTATTAATATAATTGACAGATGTTATTATCACTGATTAATATAATTGACTGATTTTATTACCACTAACATCATCACCAGCATTATATTTTTTTTATTATGATCACCATTATGGTCATTAACATTATTATATCCTCTTCATTATTATTATTATTATTATTATTAATATAATTGACAGATGTTATTATCACTGATTAATATAATTGACTGATTTTATTATCATTAACATCATCACCAGCATTATATTTTTTTATTATGATCACCATTATGGTCATTAACATTATTATATCCTCTTCATTATTATTATTATTATTATTATTATTATTATTAATATAATTGACAGATGTTATTATCACTGATTAATATAATTGACTGATTTTATTACCACTAACATCATCACCAGCATTATATTTTTTTTATTATGATCACCATTATGGTCATTAACATTATTATATCCTCTTCATTATTATTATTATTATTATTATTAATATAATTGACAGATGTTATTATCACTGATTAATATAATTGACTGATTTTATTATCATTAACATCATCACCAGCATTATATTTTTTTATTATGATCACCATTATGGTCATTAACATTATTATATCCTCTTCATTATTATATTATTATTATTATTATTATTATTAATATAATTGACAGATGTTATTATCACTGATTAATATAATTGACTGATTTTATTACCACTAACATCATCACCAGCATTATATTGCAACCGTACCTCGCGAAGGCTGATCTGGCCAGGGTGGTCCATGCCTTGGTCACCTCTAGATTGGACTACTGTAATGCACTCTAAGTGGGGCTGCCCTTGAAAACGGCTCGGAAATTCCAGCTGGTCCAACGGGCAGTGGCCAGGATGTTAACTGGCGCTCCTTACACAGAGAGGTCAACTCTCCTGTTCAAGGAGCTCCACTGGCTGCCATTTATTTTCCGAGCCCAATTTAAGGTGCAGGTGCTTACCTACAAAGCCCTGAACGGTTTGGGACCTGCCTACCCGCGTGACCACATCTCCGTCTACGAACCCACACGTTCACTTCGTTCATCTGGAGAGGCCCTGCTCGTGATTCCACCTGCATCGCAGGCGCGTTTGGTGGGGACGCGAGACAGGGCCTTTTCTGTGGTGGCCCCCCGACTCTGGAACACCCTCCCCAAAGATCTTAGACAGGCCCCCACATTGGCAGTCTTCAGAAAGAATTTGAAGACCTGGCTGTTCCGATGTGCCTTCCCAGATTAGGAAATCTCCAATACCAAGTCCCAGAAGCATCTTATTAGAATTGAGATTATTGCTCACTGCAAACTACACTTACCCTAGAATCCTTATATACCACCTGTCACATCAGCACTTTTAATTCTGTACCCATTACTCTGGCCCGGCCCAGTTTTATTGTGTCTTGGTGTATTGTTTGTTGTTTAATATTGCTTTAATTGTTTTTAATTTGCTTTAGGTTGTGTATTGTTATGTTGTGTTTTGAGGCCTTGGCCTTTGTAAGCCTTTGGGAGTCCTTCGGGAGATGCTAGCGGGGTACAAATAAAGTTAATAATCAGTTCTTGTGGGTTTTTTCGGGCTATATGGCCATGTTCTAGAAGCATTTCTCCTGACGTTTCGCCTGCATCTATGGCAAGCTTCCTCAGAGGTGAGGTCTTGCCATAGATGCAGGCGAAACGTCAGGAGAAATGCTTCTAGAACATGGCCATATAGCCCGAAAAAACCCACAAGAACTGAGTGATTCCAGCCATGAAAGCCTTCAACAATACAAAGTTAATAATAATAATAATAATAATAATAATATGATCACCATTATGGTAATTAACATTATTATATTCTCTTCATTATAATCGATATTGTTATATTATTATTATCATTACTATTATTATCTATATAAATAAAAATGTCATGTTCGTTTGTGGGATTAGCATAACTCAAAAACCATTGGACAAATTGACACCAAATTTGGACACAAGACAACTCTCAGGCCAACGAGTGACCATCACTCAAAAAAAACCTGAAAAACACAGCAGAAGAGACTTAAAAAGCCAAAACATAAACAAATACATTACATGTGCAAAACCACACACACATATATAAATATACATACACATTAGCCATCCTCTGCCATGCGTTGCTGTTGCCCAGTCTGTGTATATGTATTTCGTGTGTGTGTATATGTGTATATATGTGGTTTTGTGCAGGCGTTGTAATGCTTTTTTTTTTTTGGCTTTTTAAGTCTCTTCCACTGTGTTTTTTCAGGTTTTTATGAGTGATGGTCACTTAATTGCCTGATAGGTGTCTTGTGTCCAAATTTGGTGTCAATTTGCCCAGTGGTTTTTGAGTTAGCTAATCCCACAAGACAGATAGATCCTATGATTCTAACCTCATATTTGAAATGAACAATATAAATCATTAACTGAGACAAGGTATATGTACTTACTTAGGCGATCCCTCGTTGGATGAGTAAGATGGTCTTCCATGATGCGTTTCCTTGTGGGTTCGTAGGTGGCTGTGGAGCCCTATTCTTGACCCGCATCTTCTCCCACAGTGAAGGCATTGGTTTCCAGGTGGAAGGTGGTCCCGGTCGGGGTTGGCTTGATGCACCTTCCTCTTGGCACGTTTCTCTCTTTCGCCCTCCATTCGTGCCTCTTCAAATTCTAGCACTGCTGGTCACAGCTGACCTCCAGCTGGAGCGCTCAAGGGCCAGGGCTTCCCAGTTCTCAGTGTCTATGCCAGAGATTTTAAGGTTGGCTTTGAGGCCATCTTTAAATCGCTTTTCCTGCCCACCAACATTCAGTTTTCCGTTCTTAAGTTCAGAGTAGAGCAACTGCTTTGGGAGACGGTGGTCAGGCATCCGGACAACGTGGCCGGCCCAGCGGAGTTGATGGCAGAGGACCATCGCTTCAGTGCTGGTGGTCTTTGCTTCTTCCAGCACGCTGACATTTGTCCGCTTGTCTTCCCAGGAGATTTGCAGGATTTTCTGGAGGCAGCGCTGATGGAATCGTTCCAGGAGTTGCATGTAACGTCTGTAGACAGTCCACATTTCACAGGCATATAGCAGGGTTGGGAGGACAATAGCTTTACAGACAAGCACCTTGGTATCCCTACGGATGTCTCGGTCCTCAAACACTCTCTGCTTCATTCGGAAAATGCTGCACTCGCAGAGCTCAAGGCGGTGTTGTATTTCAGTTTCAATGTTGACTTTTATGGAGAGGTGGCTGCCAAGGTAGTGTAAATGATCAGCGTTTTCTAATGTTACACCATTAAGCTGTATTTCTGGCATTGGAGAGGGATTGGCTGGTGACTGCTGGAAGAGTTGTCGTGATAGTCGTAATCTCAGGCTGAGCTTCTCATATGCTTCTGCGAAGGTGTTTAGAGTGGCTTGTAGGTCTTCTTCTGAATGCGCACAGACGACATTGTCATCAGCATACTGGAGTTCATTTGATTCCATCGTTGGTGAAGTTCAGAATGCTCTTTGATTGTAGGTGAACTATAAATCCCAGCAACTACAACTCCCAAATGACAAAATCAGTTTTTTTTGAGTGAAGGACATACATTGGGTTGTTAGGTGTCTTGTGTCCAAATTTGGTGTCAGTTCGTCCAGTGGTTTTTGAGTTCTGTTCATCCCACAAACAAACATTACATTTTTATTTATATATATTTAGATACATACATACACATACATACACACACACACTGGGGACTCCAGACTTTTATTAATACCAGTATTTTTTTTTAAAAAAAACTTCAGAATTAAAACAGTAAAAAAAAAAGAACAGCACACAGAAATGGGGGAACTCCAGACAGCAAACACCCAAGTGCCAGTTAACCCCTCCCAAACAAATGAATGGACAAAAGGGAAGATTTGACTGAGCCACCTGCCTCCCCCTTATTGCATACCACCCCCCACCCCCAAATCAGACTTGGAAGAGACCCCAAAGGCAATAAATATTCAGGAAAGCCTTGTGAGGGACTACATTTGGATGGGATCATCGTGGAAAGGGTCCCACTTGGAGAGAGGGTCCTCCAAAGGGCATTTAGCCTAAGCTCAGGTGAGCAAAGGCGCTGAGTGTGGGACTCTTCCGCCTTTCCCCTTAAATCCGGGGCTGTGGGCGGAGGGATCCGCACTTGCTCTCACTCTCACTCTCTCTCTCTCTCTCTTTTTGGGAGGCGAAGTAGTCCCGGGAGAGCTTTAGGAGGAGAGTCAGAAGAGGAGGAGAGTCGGGAGCGCGCCTTCGGGAGCGCGCCCCAAGCCTCCGCCTCAGTCTTGCCCTCTCCCCCAAAGAAGAAGAAGAGGAGGAAGACCATGTCAGGTCTTGAGGGGCGCCCTCCAAGGATCCTGCAAAGCTGCTAAGAAGAGGAGGAAGATGAAGAAGAGGAGGATGAAGGACAGCCCCAGGCCTTCGATACTGCTGCTACTTCTCCGGCTGACGCTGCTCCTTTTCCTCCTGGGGGACGCCGACGCTGCGGTGGGTGCTCCTCTCCTCCTTTCCTCCCTTTCTCCTTCCTTCCTTTCTTTCTCTTTCCAGCCTGGGAGAAGGAGAGCAGCCATGAGAGAGTGTGAGCTCTTTCCTCTCTTTCTCCTCCTAGTGAAAGGAGCAGCCATGGTTGGAAGGGCTTCCCATATCTCCCGAAAGTGAGGGAAAGTTTCTCCTTCTCTTCTTTCTCTCTTTCTCCTTCCTTCTCTCTTTCCTTAGGTATCCAATGGAGAGGGGATTGGAAGGGGGTTTTCTTTCTCTCCCTTTGCAGTCTAAACTTTAGGTGCCTTTGCAAGCAGGAGAAAGGAGAAGTAGGGGGAAGAAAGGCATGGGGGGCTCTAGATCTCCAGCCCAAACCCACGTTGCTTGCAGAGCCCTGGGATTTGGAGGGTGCAAAAAGGAAAAAAAGCCTCTTTTTACTTTTTGCACCCTCCAAGCCTTGCAGCTTCAAAACTCTCCTTTGGGAGGGATGGAGGAGGAGGAAGGAGAAGTGCCAGGGATTTCTGGGAGTTGTAGTTTTGAGGAGGCACCAACACTCATAAAATCATAGAGTTGGGCCATCCAGTCCAACCCCCTCTTAAGGATGCCTGCCATAGATGTGGGCGAAACGTCAGGAGAGCATGCTTCTGGAAGAAGATGGCCATACAGCCTGGAAAACTCACAGCAACCGGTAGCATAAGTTTTCCCAGACTTCAGTCTATCGACTTAGAATCCTAGAGTTCGAAGAGATCTCATGTCCAACCCCCTCTTAAGGATGCCTGCCATAGATGTGGGCGAAACGTCAGGAGAGAATGCTTCTGGAAGAAGATGGCCATACAGCCTGGAAAACTCACAGCAACCGGTAGCATAAGTTTTCCCACACTTCAGTCTATCAACTTAAAATCCTGGAGTTCGAAGAGAACTCATGGGCCATCCAGTCCAACCCCATTCTGCCAAGAAGCAGGAATACTGCATTCAAAGCACTCCCAACAGATGGCCATCCAGCCTCTGTTTAAAAGCCTCCAAAGAAGGAGCCTCCGCCACACTTTCATAGAATCATAGAGATGGAAGAGACCTCATGGGCCATCCAGTCCAACCCCATTTAGCCAAGAAGCAGGAGAATTGCATTCAAAGCACCCCCGGCAGATGGCCATACAGCCTCTGTTTAAAAGCCTCCAAAGAAGGAACCTCCACCACACTTTCATAGAATCATAGAATCCAACCCCATTTTGCCAAGAAGCAGGAGAATTGCATTCAAAGCACCCCCGACAGGTGGCCATACAGCCTCTGTTTAAAAGCTTCCAAAGTAGGAGCCTCCACCATACTTTCATAGAATCATAGAATCCTAGAGATGGAAGAGACCTCATAGGTTATCCAATCCAACCCCATTCTGCCAAGAAGCAGTAGAATTGCATTCAAAGCACTCCCGACAGATGGCCATCCAGCCTCTGTTTAAAAGTTTCCAAAGAAGGAGCCTTCACCACACTTTCATAGAATCATAGAATCCTAGAGATGGAAGAGACCTCGTGGGCCATCCAGCCCAACCCCATTCTGACAAGCAGCAGGAAAATTGGATTCAAAGCACTCCCGACAGGTTGCCATCCAGTCTCTATTTAAAGAAGGAGCCTCCACCACACTTTGCGGCAGAGAGTTCCACTGCTGAATGGCTCTCACAATCAGGAATTTCTTCCTAATGTTCAGGTGGAATCTCCTTTCTTGTAGTTTGAAGCCATTGTTCTGAATCCTAGTCTCCAGGGTAGCAAATAACAATAACAAATAACAAGTTCGCTCCCTCCTCCCTATGACTTCCTCTCACATATTTATACATGGCTATCATGTCTCCTCTTAGCCTTCTCTTCTTCAGGCTAAACATAGCCAGCTCTTTAAGCCGCTCCTCATAGGGTTTGTTCTCCAGACCCTTGATCATTTTAGTCGCCCTCCTCTGAACACATTCCGGCTTGTCACTATCTCCCTTCAATTGTGGTGCCCAGAATTGGACAAAGTATTCCAGGTGTGGTCTAACCAAGGCAGAATAGAGCATGGGTAGCATGACTTCCCTGGATCGAGACACTAGACTCCTATTGATGCAGGCCAAAATCCCATTGACTTTTTTTGCCGCCGCATCACATTGTTGGCTCATGTTTAACTTGGGCATTAGCAGAGAAGGCTAAGGAAGCACTTTGTGGTCCCATTGCATTGAGTCAAAAGTGGTGTCAAAACTGCATTAAGTGTACAGTGAGAACCAGGAATGGGTAAACTAAGGAAGCATTTTGTGGTCCCATAGCATTGAATCAAAAGAGGTGTCGAAACTGCATTAGGGTTGCTGTGAGTTTTCCAGACTGTATGACCATGCTCCTGAAGCATTCTCTCCTGACATTTCGCCCACATCTATGGCATGCATCTTCAGAGGCTGTGAAGTCTGTGTGAAACTAGGCAAGTGAGGTTTATATATCTGTGGAATGTCCAGGGTGGGAGAAAAAACTCTTGTCTGTTTGAGGTAGGTGTGGATGTTGCAATTGGCCACCTTGCGATTGGCATGTGGATAATTTCAACAGAAAGGACAAATGAACAAAATCTGGCTAGCAGTGTTTAAAAACTCTAAAATCAGGACTGTAATTAAAGAGCAACACCCAAAAAGCAGGGGAATTCCAGACAAGAATCAATCACGGCCAGATAACACCTCTCAACAAAGGATTTAATCAGACAGGAAGCATCCAGGCTTTGAAGTTGCAAGGCCATTCAGTCCTAATGAAGGTAGCCAATTGCAACATTCACATTTGCCTCAAGCAGACAAGAGTTTTTTCTCCCACCCTGGACATTATTCCACAGATATATAAACCTCATTTGCCTAGTTTCCAACAGACCTCACAACCTCTGAGGATGTGGGTGAAATGTCAGGAGAGAATGCTTCTGAAACATGGCCTGTAAACTCACAGCAACCCAGTGATTCCGGCCATGAAATCCTTTGATAACACATAAACCTGCATTAAGTACAGTGTTTACCAGGCATGGGCAAACTTCAGCCCTCCTGGTGTTTTGGATTGCAATTCCTAACATCCAGTAGGCTGTTAGAAATTGTGGGAGTTGTAGTCCAAAACACCTGGAGGGCCAAAGTTTGCCCATGCCTGGTTTGGATGCACCCTTCTGCCCATTTTGCATGGGGAAGGAGCCCAATGGGATGCTTGGTTTCTATTTGGCTCAACTGTCTCCTTCAGTCTTGTCATCCTTTCTTTATCTCTCTTTCCCCCTACTTTTTCCATCCCTCCTGAGAGGGAAGGGAGTATCTTTTCTTTATCAAACAAAGGCATGCCTAGTTTTGTCTAGCTCTCTGGCCTTTCTGATGGATTCCTCTCCGAAGCCCTTTTCCTAATTTCTGCTGAATTAATGCACTTCAGCTGCCATGGCTCCATGCTAGGCAATCATAGAATCCTAGAGTTAGAAGAGACCTCATGGGTCATCCAGTCCAACCCTCTGCCAAGAAGCAGGAATATTGCATTCAAATATTCAGACAGATGGCCGTCCAGCCTCTGTTTAAAAGCTTCCAAAGAAGGAGCCTCCACCACACCCTGTGGCTGAGAGTTCCACTGCTGAACGGCTCTCACAGTCAGGAAGTTCTTCCTCATGTTCAGATGGAATCTCCTTTCTTGTAGTTTGAAGCTCCTATTTTGTAGTTTGAAGTTCTTGTAGTTTGAAGTTCCTATTCCTAGTCTCCAGGGCAGCAGAAATAAGTTCACTCCCTCCTCCCTATGACTTCCTCTCACGTATTTATACATGGCTATCATGTCTCCTCTTAGCCTTCTCTTCTTCAAGCTAAACATGCCCAGCTCTTTAAGCCGCTCCTCATAGGGTTTGTTCTCATGTTCAGATGGAATCGCCTTTCTTGCAGTTTGAAGCCATTGTTCCTATTCCTAGTCTCCAGGGCAGCAGAAACAAGTTCACTCCCTCCTCCCTATGACTTCCTCTCACATATTTATACATGGCTATCATGTCTCCTCTCAGCCTTCTCTTCTTCAGGCTAAAGATGCCCAGCTCTTTAAGCCGCTCCTCATAGAGCTTGTTCTCCAGACCCTTGATCATTTTAGTCGCCCTCCTCTGGACACAATTCAGCTTGTCAATATCTTTCTTCAATTGTGGTGCCCTTGTGAAACCACAAGAGTTGTGGTTTCACAAGGCCTTTCGCTTTCTGTGCCCCAGACTGCAACTCGCGGAACAATGGCTTCAAACTACAGAAAATAAGATTCCACCTGAACATGAAGGAAGAATTTCCTCACTGTGAGAGCTGTTCAGCAGTGGAACTCTCTGCCTCAGAGTGTGGTAGAGGCTACCTCTTTGGAGGCTTTTAAATAGAGACTGGATGGCCATCTGTCGGGGGTGCTTTGAATGTGATGCTCCTGCTTCTTGGCAGAATAGGGTTGGACTGAATGGCTCACGACGTCTCTTCCAACTTTAGGATTCTATGATTCTATGTGTATGTTGAGGATAGTTTTGGGGGCCAGAAGGCTCTTCTAATTTTATGATTTCTTGGATTCCATCACATGGAGCAGTGAAAGTGGTGCCCAACTGTATTCACTCCACACTATAGATGTAGCTTGTCATTTTAAAATGTCTTTAAACTCACAGAGGTGTATGCATGCATGTAATGCCATGGGTTGGTGTGCTTCATGCCCCACTGGCGCCATTCGATAGGGCCTGGAAGTGTGCCTTAGCCTAAGCTAGAGCTGCCAATGTGTTGCCCTCCAAATGTTGCTCCAGATGTTCCCACCAACCTTCATGGCTGATAATGCTGCTTAAATACAGTGGAGCCTCCGTAAGATCACATACTTGCTTCCCTCTGATCTGGAGGATGATTGTATGAGTTATGCAAGGTTGTGTTTCTTCTCTATTTACATAGTTTTATAACCTTTGTAGAGTTGGTTTTTTTTTGTCGTGTCAGGAGCGACTTGAGAAACTGCAAGTTGCTTCTGGTGTCGGAAAATTGGCCATCTGCAAGGACGCCTGGATGTTTTGATGCT